AGGCCATGTTTGCACTGGACTCCCCAGGTGCTCCATGTTTTTCCACAATGAGACTGCAGAGGCATCTGTTATCCCGCACAACAGAGAGCTACGGCAGCACCCTGCCACAGCCATTTCTCCTGTGAACCAGGCAGAGTCTGGAAAGACACTATCATAATGGGAAATGCCAGTGCTAGAAATGGGTGTTGTTTGGGGACGATACTAAGGGATTTTCTATTCTCTCACCCTGATTCATGTTTACTACCTAGCAGAGAGAGACCTGATCCAGCTGTTCTGACCTGATAAATCAGGCTTGGATTTTGCATTGGCCTCTTTCTCCTGTATAATTATCAGCAAACATGAAATAACGGTGTGACAGCTGAGACCTGTTGTAACCAGGCAATATCTGCAGTTCCAACTTGAAACCTTGAACGCTCAAGCTAATTTTGCTGACGTACACAGCAAACCAGAGGAATCACCAGTAGGTCCAGTAAAGTAATACTGCTGCCATAGGTGAACCCTCCTGGGTTGTTAGTCCCTACTTGGATGCCATCATGGGGTCACGCTGACTATATACAGGCTGAGCATACACACACACACAGAGGTATATGTACAGAGATATATATATACTTACATATATGTTTGTATATATGTGTGTACATGTGTTAATACATATATAAAGCTAGAGTGATGCCTTGACTCGTTAGCCCCACACTTTCTAAAAGTCTGCATCAGGGATGCTTGTATTAACCGGAAATCAGATCCCCATACACACAAGGAACAATAAATCCTTAAATACACTGGAATGACCTCACTGCTGGGCTGGGTTCTTCCCATTTCCCATTCCAAGTAGTGGAATGAGCCCTATTTCTAACCCCAAAGGGGTCTTCCTGAAAACGCAGAAATACTCAAAACTGGTGGTGTTTTCTGCTGCTTCATTTGCTATTCTACATGAGTTACAAAGGGCCTATTCCCACACTAACACGCTGGTCAGTACGTCCAGGTCTCCTGTGTAGCCAGGAAATGCAATTTATGCTGTCTCACCACTGGATTTGATCTACACTCCAAAGCCTGTTGCTATTTTATCAGCCGGGCTGCTGGTTATCAGCTGATTTGCTTGCTTTCAAGTAGGTCACATAATTTAAGAGGGAAGGGGAGAGCTCTCCTTAGGGGAGCACCGCCTGTCATATTTTAAGAGGTTTTCTGTTCACCTAGGAAAGGATTAAGTAAGATGCAGGAGTGCATGCATGTGTGTGTGCATGCTGGCAGGCAGGCAGGCGTGCCAGCCACCGGCAGCAGCGCAGGCACCTTGCAGAACACAGGAACAAGGACACGACCAAGGCAGCCAGATTTCCCGACACGAAGAACCCGTCAAAGCTGCTTATTTTCCAGCCTCAGACCTCCACTAGCGATAATTGTTTGTTCTGAAAGCACTCAGGGAACTTGAAGCAGCACACTCCTAAGCCAGAAATAATCCTGTGCTGGCTCTTCACGATATGTGCTATCGTGTTAATATACAACCAGGCAGCAGGGCAGGAAAATATCCAGGTCTCGTCCGCGTAAGGAAGTGAATCGCTGCTGCTATAGCATAATAAACATGTTCTATAAGGAAGTTAAATGTATTTACCTTCTCAAAAAACTAGGTTAAAAGGTAACTTCATCTGCCTGTAAGCGCTTGCTTGTAAAAAAATCAGCAAAGCTGTAACAAGAGGTTGAAATCTTGAACCTGGCAACTCCAAGTACGAAAAAGAGTGTACATTATTTAGTGGGAAATAATCAGCCATCGGAATAATATTGCTAGTGTCCTACTGAATTCAGTATCTCTGGAATTATTTTTAATTGAGATTGGTTTTTTTTTTCCCTAAAAGATCAGCTTTAATTCCAGCAGAAATTAATTCAGGGAAGCCCAAGGCTGGTGCTGTGCAGGAGACCAGGCTACATTGTCACAACAGCTCCAATTAGCATTATAACCTGTTCATTACCACCTTTACCCTGAAATTTCTAAATCACCTACAACTTTAAATCACCTTCCCCCCAAAGCAGAGCATCCCTGTGAGGCAGGTAGGCAGGCATGGCTATGGCACAGTAACTCTGCTGGTCAGGTTTTGCTCCTAGGCAAGCCTTTATTCAAAGCACTTGTCAGAACCATTGCCATGCGGTAGACAAGCTCTGCCTAAGGACATTGACCAGCACAATGCTCACAGAACTACCTGATTATTTGAGAATAAATCACTTTTATTTTGGAATACACTGTCAACACCAGGGAGTTTTATTGGCAGAGCTGAGCGAGCTATTCTGGTCAATTCTCCCATGCAGACGTGCCATACACGTGGGATAAGGCTGGAGAATAATCCCCCAGGAGAAGCGATGAACATTTTATTGATTGGGATGTTTCAAACTTGTGCAGGACAAAGCAATCTTCTATGATTGTCCACTGAATGAGCAGACAAGATGGAATTGAGGGTTGGGTTTTTTTCCATCTCTAATTTCTGTTTCGTTTAGAGAAGACATTTTGAACAACACTAGCAAGTGGCGGGGGGGGGGGAAGATCTATATCCGCTCTGATTCTGCCAGAGGTGCTGTCACACTTGCAACGTTAGTGATAGGAGAGGTCATTTCCTTGAAATCCAAGACAAATGTGTGATGCTGAAGCCACAGGTATGTGTAACAGGCCACGGGGACCTCTAGAACCAACCCAGCACCCCACACCCAGGCTGTTCGCTTTCTTTTTCTTACCCGACTGATGCTGTTTGCGGGAGAAGCACTGGACCAGGCACTGGAAGGAGGTGGATGGGAAGAGGCGCAGGATAGGAAGCTTGCAATGAGTAAGTGCTAGCTGCACTTCTAGCAGCAGGATCAAAGCATGGCTGAGCTACAGGAGACACTGGTCGGTCATTTCCAGCACATCGATAGCAGCTTTCCCTGCCTTGATGCCAGCCCCTCTGCAGAGTCATGAACTCTGCTGTTTCCACGGCAGGAGCTGCAGGCCTGCGTCCACCTGCTCTCACGCCCCGTGTGCGCTCGGGCAAACACCATGCACCCGCTGCGGCTCTCCCAGCTGCCTGCCCAGGCAGGCAGAGCAGGGAGGTCAGTGAGGTGAGGAGGCAAAACTCGCTTGGGGTTGCAAGGGCTCTATCAGGCTGGAAAGGTGCCTGGTAGCCCATCATAAGGTGCAGGGGTGAGAGCTGGTGCTCAGGACGTACCCAGAGCTCTCCATCACCCTGTGGGGCGCTTGGGCAGTCCAGAGCAAATACCCAGGCACCAACTTCCTCTGTCCAGAGGGAACGTGATTCCCACCAGCGCCCAGGTGCTGTTTACAAGGGAAGGGCTGTGAGGAAAGGTGACATCTTTTACTAAACCAACTGATGCAGCTGGGGGGGAAAAAAAAACCTGTGATTTCAGAGATTTGAGAAAAGCATATTATGCCTGAAACATTTTCCAGCCACATCAACTGGTCTAATGAAATGCATCATTTCTCTCCCCACAACCCCTGCTACACTTCTGTCCTTCACAACTGCAAGAGCACAGCTGCTATGAGGGCAATTAACACCACTGGCCTTGCCTCCGAAATCCCCTTAATTGTGCCCTCTGCGAATTGCTGGGCCTCAGGACATTGCAGACCAGGTATTTTGCAGCAGTCTCAGCTGAAATAAGGAGTGGGAGATCGTACTGACCAATGTTTGACACTGAGCTCACTGTTGCCTCCCCCACCACATGGAATCTGGTATTAATTTTAATTTGTTTCGTCCTGTCCAGCAGTTTGAATTCACAACATGCTAGAGTTTGGTATTGAAAAGGCTCCTTTGTTATAAAGCATCATCAAGAGAAGGTGGGACCTTTTGGCATGTGAGTATGGGCAGATGGGTCTCTTACACCTGGAATGATGATTTGGGACTGTGGGATAACTGCTTTAGGAGGAGGGCGCGTGCAGCTTACCCCAATACCCAGACTACCTTGAAAGTAGTTAGTTCCTGTATTGCTTGCAATGTAGCAGGGTGGTGCAGAGTTCAGCACAGGCTGCAGACGAGTACCAGAGCAGTTAATCGCATTGGCAGCGGCATTCCCCTGAATAGATTTCAAAGTTAACGCTGCAGGAAGGGGAGTAAGGCAGCCGACACGTCCCCGCACTGTCCTTATGAGCTGTTTGCAGGTGTTACCATGTCTACTTCATTCAGGTCGTATCGGGAAGGTTTTATTTACTTCCACAAAAATGCAAACTTTATTTCTGTAAATAAGGCTTAGGCAGCAGAGCACAGACCTGTACTTTGTGGCAGGCTGCGGACAAAATCCGTGTTAGAAAATCACTGAATGTACAAGACCCAGATCTCATTTGCTCCAACCAGCACACGAAGGACACTGATACGAGCTAGCGGAGCAGGCATTGCTCCCGATACAGGGGCCGCTACCAGTTACCTCCTTCATGCCCCGGCCCTGCCGCCCACTGCCCAGTGCCGCCGGCCAAAGACGGTGCCGGTCACCTCGCCTGGCTGCTATTAACTACCATGAACTCCTGCTATGTCGCAGCACTTCCCCAACGGCCCCTGCAGCAAGGCCTTCACTTCTGGCTGCACGGGGGTGCATGAAGAATCGTGCCCAGTTGACTGTTCCTCGCTAAATTGCCCCGGTTGCTCATTGCCCTCGCTGCCCCCGGCAGCAGTCCCCAGCAGCGGTCCCCGCCGTGCTCCCCCGC